TAACTTGATGTAAACCGCCCAGAGTCCCCCATTGCAGGGAGATGGGCGGGGATAAGTCTGTATAAATCAGTCCATCCATCCACCCATCCATCCATCCATACAGGTAGTCCTCAGCTCACAATCACAATTGGGACTGGAATTTCTGTTGTTAAGCAATGTGCTCATTAAGTGAGTTGCGCCTAATTTTACGATCTTTTTTGCCACGGTCATTAAGTGAACCCAGCTTTCCCCATTGACTTTGCTTGTCAGAAGCCCCCTGGAAAGGTTGCAAGTGGCAATCATGTGACCCCGGGAGGCTGCAACCACCATAAATACATGCTGGTTGCCAAGAGCCCGAATTTTGATCATGTGACTGCGGGGATGCTGTGACAGTCATAAGTGCAAGGACCAGTCGTAAGTTGCTTTTTTCAGCACCGCCGTAACTTTGAATGGTTGTTAAACGAATGGTCATAAGTTGAGGACTATCTGTACTGCATTGCTGCAAAAGTGGCCTAACTCTGGATTTATGTAGCCTTCTCCTCCAATTTAGAGGTATCATACACATCCCACTCATGCAGCGTAGAATTTTTGCAGGCGTCTTGGGTAAAATATCCTGGAGCTGCCAGTCTGTATAGCCTACGGTGGAATTGGTGCCCCACATTGAGTTGGTAGAGCAGGGAGGTAGGTGTTTCTAAGAAAGAAACATCTGCTTTCTGTTTACCTAATCATGGAATTCACCCAGAGATGGCTAGGATCAGCGGCCTTGATAGTCTAATAGCCTGGGGGTTTTTTTTTTTTTTTTAAATTGGCACTGTCAGCTCTGTGGAATAAGAAAGAGAAACTAGGTTAAAGATCTCCAGCTTGTCTGGGGCAGGGGGTGGGGAGCGAAACGAAATGATCGGCATCTCCTGCTGATGTAAGCTTTAGTTCTATTGCATGGCATGGCTGTTTCACCCAATAGCAAGGAATCCTGTTCCTTGGCAGGGGGAAGCAGTAGAGGTAATGTTGGGGCTTGCTATTTGGGGAGTTGGTCCTCAGCCTCGCTGCTGCCGTGCGCCTGGCTGCAACTTGAGTAGGTCCTTCTGTGGGCTAACCAGTTTTGGGCAGGTGCCTCTGATGAAATTCCTCCGGGTTCTTGCTGAAAGCGGTTCTGCCAGGGGAGGAGGCTAGGAAAGATTTATCAGCAGAACTTTCCTGAGAATCGGTGTAAGGTTTGCTCCTGGCTAGGCATCTCCCTCACTTTCTCTCTGCCCCCCCACCCTGCCTTTGGCCTTGTGGCTTTGTCTTCCTCCTCCTTGCATCCTGGCGAGAGAGGAGGGTGGGGAGCCTCTCCTTTAAAGCCTTGAGAGCAATGGGTATGTTCAGGATGGGAGTGTCTTTAACATCCTTTCTTTTATTCCCAGGATAGAGGGATAAAAATCCCCCAGCAGCTGGGAAGAGGCCCCAGTTCCTTCATCCCGGTGGAAGAGGTAAGGCAGTAAGGCACGCACAGCTTGCAAATTTCCCTCTCCTCTCCCCTCCTCTCCTCTCCTCTCCTCTCCCTGGAGGCCAGGATAATCTGTTCTAAGGCACACCTTTTCAAAGTTACTTTGCTTGATAGGGCAGAGGTTGGGGATGGGGGATGTATTTGGAGGAGAAGAGGCTTCTCCCTTGCTGGGAAGGAGTGGGCATGGATGGGTTTGCAGGAAAAGAGCTTGGCATGCAATAAGATCTGCAACAAAACGTTGCAGTTTATTTCTTGGCTGTTCCAAGTTCCTGCAAGTCCAGCCACGTCCTTCTCCCGGAGACTACGAAACGCTTGGAGAATAGGCATACTTCACGTGTGCATCATACTAAATTATGGCTTGGCTAACCATGGTTTGCAGAATAAACTGCAGTGAACGATACAGAGCAGAGCAACTGGGTTCATCTAACCCCTAAGCCATGGTTAGTTTACTCATGGCTTATTGAAGTTGAAGGAGGAAATCCATCTTAGTCTAGGGTAGCCAGCCTCAGAAGGCATTTGGTAGCACCTTTTCTGACTGACAAATTTATTAAAAGCCATCCACTTTCTTGAATGACAGCTCACTTCATCCGATGCAGAGAGTGGTTAAACCAATGTAGGATTTAAACTGGAAACGGGGGGGGGGGGGGGGGGGGGGTTTTT